GAGCAGAGGTGAGCAGGTAGAGGGCAGGAAAGAAAAGAGTTGCAGCTTGCAGAGAAAAAAGCTGCAAGGAGTGATTTCTGACTCAATTATCAAAATACAAAGCCCCGGACTCCACTTAATAGAAACATGCACTATTTTTTTAAACTTAAAACATATTGCTGCTTGACAGCGTGATATACCTACCTGCAGGTCCCTGCTCACCAGGAGCTCCCTGAGCGGGCAAAGCCCCCACCAGTAATGAGGGCTCTGGTGCAGTTCCTCCTTCACCCTGAAAGTGGCGATGTGATACGGAGGCCGGGGCAATCAGTAATTGGACCTGGTACAGGAAGACATAAAACAAGTGTGGGCAATCAAACAATGTGCTTGTTTAATGTAGGTAGTATGGTATTGTGGCTGAATGAGTACAGTCCATACCTTCGCTTCCAGTGAGCTCAGCCTGTCACTCAAAGCTGTGATTCGACTGCAGTTGAGACAATCTAAAAAACAGAAAATTGCTTTCTGTATCTTCAGACATGTAAACATGTAGTATACCTTTGCCACTGCATTGTATAGTCAAATTAGTGACATTCAGTTCACAGTTCTTACTGGAGATTGTCTCTCCTGTGCGTGCAGCCGGGCGACGTAGCATGGATGCTTTCCTCACTGCCTCTTGAGCTACAAGCTGGTTCCCTGCTTCTGTAACAGAAGATAAAGAGACAGAAAAATATTTGAAGATTTGAAGTTGTAATGACCCCGTGGCTTTGACAACATATCCTTTTAGATTTGGACGTTTTTATTTCCTTTCATACTCAATATGGAAATCAAATGGTAGGAATCACAGTCCCAAATTCTCACAAAGACCTATTAAATCGCTTGATGTCCTGATACATATCTGTAAACCAAATTTAATGGAAATCAATTCAAAAGTGTTTGTTTTTTTTGCAATATGCTGCTGACATTAGAGGATTAGTTGATTTATCGAATCATTCTTTAAGAAAAAAAACCAACGACTTTCTTCAACTACTCAAATGTGAGGATTTGCTCTTTTCTCTATTTTATATCTTTGAAAATGTAATATCTTTGGGCTTTGGGCTGTTGGTCAGACAAAACAAGAGTTCTGAGCATAATCTCTCTGGGTTCTGGGAAATCATAGTGGCTATTTTTCACTATTTTAGAAATCAATAATGACAGTGATTGTTAGTTGCAGCCCTAGCTGACAGACAAACAAACGTGTGAAACATACATTAATTAATGGAAGAACTGACATGATGCATATACAATACTGAATCTTCCAAATAAACTAGGCTTTATGTTCATGCTGGATTATTCTGTAGGTCAAGATTTTGTGCCATGTGCTGATGCAGGTGATCTGGAAACAAGAGTGCAGAGGTCACCATGGTGTAATCCATATGATCTCTCCCTATCTTTAACTAAGTATTTCGCTAATCTTATCCATACTGTTGATGCCATGTGCAGATATTTTAAGAAAAAAAATAAAAATTCTGTCTGTTAGTAGAGTTGAATCGACTGTTTACATGCTCATTTTAGATTGTCATGATGTTTGCTTGGGCCACAGGTCCCTGTGACCGTTGCAATGACAGAGTTCTGGACAGACAACAACAGAAAAACAACTTAAAGTATTTTTGTCTGATAAAACTTCCAAATACATATTAATAGGCCGCATGTCATTTTGTGTTTGATGTAATGTCGTCACTCCAGTGTTATGGAAGTTACACACACTGTGCTGTGGGCTGAGTGAAGATGTTTCACTGAGGGAGACATAAGAAATCACCACCATGCTGTGTTTGCTATCCTGCCGGTGAGCTTCATACTATCAGCCTGAAAGAGCTGACAAAAAGTTGATGGGGTGTAGAGAAGACAGAAATTAAAATCACCAGAGACCGTTGCAGCTCTCGTCTCTGTTACATTTCCAAGAGACAAACAGCGTCTTTGCCAAGTTGCTTTCCTTTTTGCCTTTGTTCGTTATGGAGTATAAAATCGCAAAGCTTGGGAGAGAGGGCGTGTAAAGACAAACAATAGTTTCCTTGTGCAGAGAGAATGGGTAGTCTCGGCTCGCATTCTCTCTTGCCTTCATTTTATGAAGTGTGGGAGTTTGTGTCCCTGGGTTCTGGATGTTTTTGAATGGGCAGACCTTTGTGGAAATGCTAGACTGACTCCTTTGTCTGGCCTGGTCTGGCTCTGGTCGGCCCAGGTGCTCCTGATCCAAACAAGAAGCCGGGTTCAGCACCTCATCAGCCACCAGGAAGCTCGTCTTTGCCGTTCTGCAGGCAGCAGCCACAGTCAACGCCAAGTGCTTTACTAAAAGAAGCCATGAAATAGCACCTGCAGCACCGAGCTGGAGCAGGAGAACAGTATTCTTCTTAAACAGCCTCACTTATTGATGATGATGATCTGTCTCCATTCACTGCAGACTCAGGAAAGGAAAATGGAGAGCTTATTGTCACGAAGAAAAACAAATGTTTTGGATCCTAAGACAGGGAAGCATAATGGGTTTAGTGATTACCCAAAGAGGGGAGAGAGAGAGAGGGCAAAGGAGGAGTATGAAAAGTACACAGAACACATGGTTTAGGGTAAACTGAGACCGCTGCAATTATTCCCCCCTCAAACTCTGTGCTCATGATTTCTCTGTTTTGGGTTCTGGGTATTTCTCAGAGGATTACAAGTGTAGATGGATTTAAACCATGTAAGACCTGAGACTGAAATGTTATGACATGGGCTCTAGATTGTACAAAACTCTCACATTTTCAATAACAATATAAACATTGCGCAGAGACCAAGACCAGGAGAACACGCACTTTGATCTGTTCTTCTCTTGTCTGCACCACACTTCAGTCCACATGGGGAAGTCTGCAGAAACAAAGAGGTGTGTGTGTGTGTGTGTGTGTGTGTGTGTGTGTGTGTGTGTGTGTGTGTGTGTGTGTGTGTGTGTGTGTGTACATGCACATGCCGGGGACGTTTTCTCTGGAGCTCGGCTCATGTCGATGGCTGCATTCAATTACAAAGGGGGCTCTGGATAGGAAATCTAGCTCTCACCCCTAACGGCACCTCTTCTCCCTCTAGAATAAAGAATATTCAAGCGCCAAGATCCCCTCACCCACACTCAAGCTATTGTATGAAGCATTAAGCCGGCTTTGGCTGGAGGACAACTGTCTCCCACACACACACAGACACACACCTCTTACACACTTTCTCTCTCTCTGTCCTGCAACAACAAATTAAAAATCTCCCCCCTTTCCTTCCGCATCTCCTGTGACGGTGTCTGTTATCTACAAGAATGAGGATGACTTGGACGCCTCGAGTGTGCTCCATCGCTCCCTCTCTCGGCCAACAATAACATCATCACAGTTAATGAATGCCCCCCGATGGACACGGGTCATTGTATCCACTCTTTGTTCTCAGTGGGCTAATTGCCCCAGTGGGGGGGGGTCAAACAAATGTGTGAATGTATTTGACCTTTTGCCCCTGTCGTTCTAATCAGTGACTGGGGAATCCCCCGCCAGAGAGTTCAGCTGGCCGTAGTCAGTCCTGACATCAGTGCTCTCTCTCATTTAGTCATTTGTTTACAATATTTTTAGTCATTTGTTTACAATATTTTTAGTCATTTGTTTACAAACACTCTTTGAATTATCTTTGCCCATGCTGGCGCAATAATCTCATAGGAACAGGACGAAGATGTGACCGGTTAAGATTATCTTTCCTTATTTCATAATGAGTGTGTGTGTTCAGGAGGTTATGAAAGATGGCCTGTGGGATTGCAAGCACATGATGATAAGCATTGTTATACTGTGTATAAATGTGTTTTGTAGCAGCAGGGAAAGGCGCAAATCAAATTTTGCAGAACATTTACTTCAGACTAAATTGATCTAAATGAAAGTTTATCATGGAGCTCTGAAGCCATCCAAAAGTCAAGGGGAGCTCACACTGTCTTTCTAAGCCTGTAGCTGGGGGCTAAGGTTAGACAGACCAATGAAATTGTTTGTTGAAATCTGAGCAATAGGTCTGCCAAGCCACACATGTAGCCCCGTGGGCCTCAGATGAAACCCTGAGACAGGACTTTCTCTCCTGTGTTTCTTCTGCAGCACGTCACTCTGCTGCCTGACTAAATGAAAGAAATACTGGAGGTGAGTAAGCTGACCACCAGCCTGTCAAATGAAAAGAAAACAAAGCCTTGTCAGTGAAGTTCAACTACAATTGAATGTATATAACTTCTTCACTTGTGATATATTTCTTTTTTTATGGGGAACTACTGACAGAGAAAAAAACACACATTTGCATACTGGTTAAAACTTACAAATAAAAAAGAAAACTTGAGTGAGATGCAACAATGCAGCTGGAAAGGGGTAGCTGAATGCTAGCTTGCCTTGGTAACAGACCGTGTTTTTGAGCCAACACCACAGACACAAGTGGCAAAAGGGGGAAGCCCTCAATCTGAAATGACTGCACTCAAAAGAAAGCAGCATTTGTGATTTTCCACAAAAGCATTACAAACCTGCTGTTACTATTATATCATTATATAATCATTATGCATCTTCCAAGGTGACTATTACTGGCCTTAAAAAGCCCACTTGGAGAGCTGCTGGTACCACCAGAGAGAGCCATGGGCACAGTGACCAGGACTGCAGCTGCAACTCTCGCTCTACAAACTAAGGTGTTTGTATGTGATTTTGTGTCGGGTTTTGTCTGTGAGTGTGTGTTTGAGAAAGTACACGTATGAAAAACACACACATAACGCACACACACTGGCTGTATTATTAATGAACCAAGGTCATTCTTTTAGTGATACTCTCCCCAGTGAAAATAAACCAGAGCCCTCATGCTAAGAGCCCAGTTAGCGCTGCCAACCAGAGCCCTTAAACACACATCTCACACTCAGCTGCACCAACTGCCTGATCCTCCAAGCTCATCGCCTACTGGGGTTTATTTGTTCCCTGCTCCTGCAGAAAGATTCAGCAGCTTGCAGACAGACAAAGGAGCTTCATGAATGTACAAGTCTTCTGCTGTCCTTTCATGTGGTCTGCAGCAGAGGGTGGATGAACATAACGAAGACACAGTTGAAGCAGAAATTGTGTTGCACAGCTTTACGGTTCATCTGCGCTTTCCTTGAGTCCAACTGTGTTACCTCAAAGTTTGATGTTCTTGTGGGGAGATACAGTACAAGGCCTGGCAGCTGCAGTGAAAGCAAACATCAAAACAAACACACACACACACACACACACACACACACTGCAGCAAGCAGACACAGCAGAGTACAAGGTCCTGATCCATCTCTGTCTGGTCAATTAGCTTAGCTCAGCGCTTCAGCATCATTAGTGACCAGGTGCTGACAGCCAACCAGGAGAGGCGTTTGTCTCCGTCTCTGCACTGCCCCAGACAGACTGAATCCTGGTGCTGCTGATCAACACGCGCGCACACACGCACACGCACACGCACACGCACGCACACACGCACACACACACACACACACACACACACACACACACACACACACACACACACACACACACACACACACCCCGAGTCTACATAGCGAAAACTCCTTAAAATAAGTTGAGCTGAACAAGGTGGCAACTCAGAACATCTGTTTGCTGAACGAGCAGTTTCTTTTGTCTACTTTTGAATCTTAAAGAGACAAATTGAGGTGATGTGATCCTGGTATCGTTTCATTCTGCTTTTCT